CTCTCTGCTCCTCCCCCACTCGTGCTCTGTCTCTTTGTCTCAAAAATAAATAAATGAATTAATTAATTAATTAATAAACAAATAAAAATGTAAGCCTATGAGAAATTATTTTTTTGTTTGTGTTATGTCTACAATTAGCCGGTTGTTAAAGACCGAATGCTTGTGTCCTCCCAAAGTCACATGTCAAAATCCTAACCCTCGATATGATGGTGGTAGGAGGGATGGCCTTTGGGAGGTGACTAGGTCATGAGGGTGGACTTAGGGCCCCAGAAAGCTCCCTCTGCCTCTCTGCCACTTGGGAACTCCACCAAAGGAAGCGGTCTCTCTACGCACCAGGAGGAAATAGGTCCTCATCAGATGCTGAATCTGCCAGCATCTTGATCTTGGACTTCCTAATCTCCAGGACAGTGAGAAGTAACATGTATTGTTTAAGCCATCCAGTCTCTGGTATTTTTATTTTTTATACCAACCCCAGTGGGCTAAGACATCAATAAGGGACTGTTCTTATTTTTGCACGTGGAGTTTGGCCATCTACTCTTACGCTTTTGTCATTGTGAGGCTTTCTAAATCTCTACCTCATCTTTAACGGCATCAGAGCTTGGTTGTGGTGTTACTATGCAGAAACCATTGTTCTTCTGCCTTCCTGCTTAATCTCCCAGCCTCTGTATTTTATTCTGTAAGTGGGAATGATATCTGTGTTTCAGAGTTTTTCTGACAACGTCATGGCACCATGCACGCCAATGGCACTTCCATACTCCTCTTCTTTTACTTACTCCATGGACCTCCTCCACAGTGGGCTGACCTCTTTTTGAGTATTTCTCTCCTTATTATGGGTGCATATCTTTGGGTTATTTACTCTACTGTGCATGTTTACACATATTTCCTTATTTTTCCAGCTTCGGATTTGCAAAGCTTCCAAAAAATGTTTCCTCTTCCATTTCCACTTTTGTTTGATGATCTTCATGCCTACTCGATTCTTATCTTGGTTTTATCTCCCTCCATTGTAAGGAGAAACATTAAATAGAAAATATTAGTATTGGCTGTTCGTGGGAACACTTTATTTTGCACGAGAGGAGAGATTTTGTTTTTTTTTTTTAATTTTTAATGTTTTATTTATTTTTGAGAGAGAGAGAGAGAGAGAGACGCATGAGTAGGGAAGGGTCAGAGAGAGAAGGAGACACAGAATATGAAGACAGGTGAGCTAGCCGGCAGCACAGAGCCCGACGCGGGGCTCAAACCCATGAACTGTGAGATCATGACCTGAGCTGAAGTCAGATGCATAACCGACTGAGCCACCCAGGCGCCCCGAGATTTTGGTTTTATAAATACGATGATACCTTGCAAATAGAGCCTGAAATCCTTAGAGCTTGAGCCAGCTTCCAGACCCCTGGTCACTAAGTCTTACCAGTGTGAAATGAAAATTGAGTCGCACTCATGTGGTTTGTTGTTGCCTTAGGATAATGAAACTATTGTTTTGTGACTTTCATGCCATTGTCATAAAACACTCTTCAATTTCAAGACTCTTGTGTGGGAAGACTGTCATGGTACCTTGGCGATTATCCATCTATATCAGTGCTGGTGGAATCTGACCACTGGTTGCAGGAAGAGGGCACTGTATGTTTTTCTCTGATAAGAAGTCCACGTTTGTTGCAAAATTAGCCTAATATCTTGCTTTTGCAAAACCTTTCGAGTTCCATATTTTCACGGAAGAAATGTTATACACACGCAGACTAGCTGTCTTTCACCCAAATTCTTAATAAACCCAATTTCCAAAGCCATTGTTTTCAATTTCCTATTGCTTATTTTGCCTACACTACATAAAAAAGAAATCACGTAGCAAAACAATAATAAAAAAAAGCAATGTCTGTGCTTCTTTTTTAAATTGGCATTTACTTTTAGTAAGTTGATTCCTCTGGGCTCTCAGTTATGTTTTTCATAGCTCTAATAGGAGCTTCCTAAAAACTCTTTTGTTGTATCAGGTATAAGATAGATAACAAGGTTGGATAGCCCTGAAGGAACTTGCATTAAGTAATGCAGCCAGAGAGGGAAATGGAAATAATCGATAAAGGCATGAGAAGAAAGCGTAAGAACAAGATAGATTATATGTACCCCAAGGTTCCTCCTTCTAAACTCTCCCTTGTTCTCTCCAAACCCACACAGATTTAGGGCAAATACATCACTTTTTTCTCTTGCTGTATTTGACAGTAGCTATAGGTTCTCTTTGAAGGTCAGATTTGAGCAGTTGAATAGGCATGAATATACCTGGTTTTTAAAAGCCAAAATTAGGGGCGCCTGGGTGGCTTAGTCGGTTAAGCGTCCGACTTTCACTTAGGTCATGATCTCGCGGTTCGTGGGTTCGAGCCCCGCGTCGGGCTCTGTGCTGACTGCCAGCTCAGAGCCTGGAGCCTGTTTCAGTCTATGACTCCCTCTCTCTCTGACCTTCCCCTGCTCATGCTGTCTCTCTCTCTCTCTCTCTCCTAGAAATAAATAAAAAACATTAAAAAAAAATAAAAGCCAAAATTAGAGAACGCTGTTCAGCGACATTCCTGAATTGTCAGTCTTGGGATTCTGATGCACAAATTATATAAACATAAACACATTACAGCATATGAGATAGCATGTTTAAAAATATTTTCCATCATTGTCTTTTCCTAATGGCTTTTCCCCCAAATATGTTAAAATGGTTTTGCTTAACTCTGTACATCAGAAGGTGAAGGTCAATTTGATATTGTAACAAAGGATTAAAAGTTTATTAATCCATTTTAAGCAAGTTTAGAGGATTTTTTTTAACTTAGCCTTTAGAATTTACCAGTTGATGAAAATAATCATTTATAATTACTGACTTACTTAAATGGCTAAAACCAGTTCAGGCTGCCAGTCTGGGGGTGCAGTTGGTGTCTTTGACTTACATATTTAATGAGAAATGCCCTAAGTATTCCATGTCTTCAGCTGGGCAAAGGGCCGATGTCCAGGGTCACTATTGCTTGAGGAGAGCAATTGTTTTTGTCACTCCTCTCCTTTTATGCTTGGCATGCCTTGAACATAGTAGACAGTGATAGTTGTTAAAATTTATGGAGGCTTGCTAAGTGACAAGCCATGTAAGTAAGCCCCGTGCACACATTAACTCACTCAGTCAATATTTGCTGAGTATTGAGGGAGTGCAGAAATGAACGGTCAATGCCTCCAACACACAGAAAAGGCTCTGCTCCTCAGCTAATTAAGTGGACTTAGATATTTTTAGGGATTTCATTATTTTTTTCTTCATGAGTGAATTTTGACAATATTCCTGACTTCCTCTTGACATTAAATATTTAAACTGAGCTGATAATGTTAAAAAGTGCTGTGTTCTCAAGTATTTGATATTTAATGCTTTACTAACTTTAGGGTGTACTACAATCCAAGTAAAGGTCTTGGCAGTGTCTCTTTGATGCCACATTTAGACAGTAAATAAACACGATCTGTTAGCAGCATTGTAATATGAATTAATTCAAGAACTTTTAAAAAAATTCCCATTCAACCTAATGTCATTATTATCTGGAGAACACATTAATGACTTGTAATTTTCTGATGATTAAACTTCTTTAAAGTTTGATGTTCTCATAAATCATTAGATTGAACATGCCACTTATAAAATATTAATTATTCATAGTACCCAAGAATTATATCTCCTTTATTCTTTTATTATAAAAACTGTCCTAAATCAATCAACCTAGGATAATTACTTTACATACTCAACCCGACTGAACAAAAATGGCAGCCTATTATGGATTTTTGTAGCACATATATGTCTTACTAATGTATCGTATGATTACTCAAGATACAATGAAGTATGTGCTACAGAAATACTCTTACGTATAGCCAGCCCTGTGCCTCTAAGTATTAGATATGCTTCAAAACCCACACTCAAGCATACACCTACTGAGCTTGTGGGGCTTTTTCCTAGTTTCTCTAGAAGTCAATATTCTTCAAAACAGGAACAATGTCTTTTGAATGTCCTAATTATTATTGAGTGTCTCTCCTAATGGTGAGAACAACACACAGTTGAGTGAATGTTACTATTTTCTTGACTTTTGCTTTTTTTTTTTTTTATGTAGAAGGATGTCTATGAAGTTCTTTACATGGTTTGGATTGTTAGGCTTTTATAACATATTCATTGACTTATTTAGTCTTGACTTACAGGCAACATAAAATTGAGAATTTATATATATCTAAAGAAAGTTTTCTTTTAGGGGTATAGGCTCATTATTAACTGCTAAATAAACCTACGTTGCTAACCATACGCTATATTTACCGTCTTTGTAAAGTTATACTCAGCTGTATGTCTTGAAATATTGAGAGGATCCACTATAGAAATATTCTGTGAAAACATTTATACTCTGTCATTGGCTGGCCAATCAGATTAAATTTTAAAAGATTTCTTATTTAAAATTTTTTTCTAAGTTTATATAGTTGTTTTGAGACAGAGAGAGTGAAAGAGGGGCACAGAGAGAAGGGGACAGAAGATCCAAGATTGGCTCTGTGCTGACAGTGGTGAGCCTGATGTGGGACTCGAACTCACAAACCGCGAGACCATGACCTGAGCTGAAGTTGAACGCTCAACTGACTGAGCCACCCAGGCGCCTCCAACATTTCTTATGTTTTATTTTGGAAAATGCCTAACTGGATTACATACCTCAGTAAAAATGAGATTTTGTTAAAAGGTTATGGGAAATTTTTGTTTTGTATTCGTGTTGTTTGAACAGAGCATCTGCAGTCGAGCAATACAACTATTTCTAACATTTTTCACTGTGTGTTACACTGATTCCCTCTGTATGTTCTTAATTGCTGAAATGTATACTAAGCTTGAGATCACTTGTAACATCACTACCCAGATTTCACACGACATTGGACGTGGCATTTTATTTCAGAAGTTTCCGGTCAGAGCATGAAGTCACTTGAGGGGTTGGGAGGGATATTTTGAGACTCGCTTTGAGGCATCTGTGTGTGTGTTTAATGTGCAGCTCCTGTTCTTCCTGGAGCCTATCAGCAAAGCCATTCTCAAGGCTATGGGTACATGCACCAGACCAGCCTGTCATCCATGAGGTCAATGCAGCACTCACCAAATCTAGTAAGTATCAGTTTGATGTGTTTGTTCTTCCCTGCTCTTCCCGTTTTGTCTCCAGAATACAAATACATATGGAATAGAGTTGCATTGAATATTGCCCATTTTCACGCAAAGGGTAAATGCTGACCTTGCTGTTTGTACCTTTTTGAAGAAAGCGAGAGACAGAGGTAAACCACTGAGAAAGGAAGGCATGATGTGGAAAAAACATGTAACCAGTAAAACATAGACTCTATCCGAATGATATCCTGAATGTGACCTCATGATTGGCATTAGCCAACTGTGTTCTTCATTCAGGTCTAGAAGGCACAAATATTGGGTCATATTAACCAGTCAGTTTTGACAATAATCCCCATGGACACTAAAACCCAAATGACATGGCCAACATATGTCTTCCAAACCTCCTATTGGAGATCTTCATTCAGTTCCTGATTCCTTCATTAAATGTGAAGGTTGGAAGCAGTGCTCAAGGTCAGCTAGTTGGATGGGCGTCTTGTGCTGAAAATGTTTCTCCAAGCTTCGGACACAGTAGTTTAGCCTTAGTGTTCAGAAACAGGTGATCCTTCGAAGTAGTTGGATGTTAGCTTTAACAGCTCTGACGTTCTTTGTGCCTCAGCCAGTTTCCTCAGTCCATGAATTCACTGCATTTTGAGATTTTTCCCATGTTCATATTAACTAAATTCTTGGTCTTTAATGAAAACAATTTATATTCTGGATGCAAACCACTTGTCAGACATGTGATGTGCGAAGACCTTCTCCCGTTTGGTAGGTTCTTTCTGTTTCATCGATGGTTTCCTTTGCTGTGCAGGAGCTTTTTAGTTTGATGTGGTCCCACATGGTTATTTTTGCTTTTGGTATCAAATCCAAATAAACAGTTCCAAGACCAATGTCAAGAAGCTTACTGCCTATGTTTTTTTTTTTTTTCCTAAGAGTTTTATCCTTTTAGGTCTAAATTCAAGTCTTTAACGTGTTTTGGGTTAAGTTTTGTGTATGCTGTAAGAAAGTGGTCCAGTTTTGCTCTTTCACATGTTGGCGTCCACTTTCCCCAGCACCATTTACTGAAGAGGCTGTCCTTTCTCATTGTGTATTCTTGGCCCCTTCATCATAAATTAATGGACCATATATGCATGGGTTTATTGCTGGGGTCCCTGTTCTGTTCCATCGATCTATGTGTTTATGTCAATACCAGTGTTTTGATTACTATAGCTTTGTAATATAGTTTGAAGTTAGGAAGTGGAAAATGTCCTCATTGTGTTATGCGCACCTCAGTATTCAGAACATTTGCATACTAAGTTTCTATCACTGTGATTCAAAAACCTACAAAGTAAGTATATTTTGTGTTTTTCTTTGATTCGTTTTATACATTTTTAAGAGGAAATGAAAATTCTTTGTATCTGTTTAGCAAGAATTCATCTCCTCTCCCTGGTGTTGGGGGGGGGGGCGGGAAGCAGTGGCAGTGACGTGGCTCTGATGTGACTCTGTCTGCCCCTAGCACTGCTCTTCTCTGAAGAATGTAGAATAGGGGAGACTCTCCATGACTTGAGGTCTCCAGGGTTATCTGAAGCTGGGGGGAAGTTGGTTTTACTGCTTCAAAGCTTACCTTTTTGATGGGCTGGTTATTTTCGCTAGTGGCTTTCTCTATCCCCATTCTGGGTCCCCAAACTTTACCCCTTTTGCTAGACTGGTAAACTGCTAGACGTGGACACAGCTGGGACAGACGTTAGGCTTTCGGGTTTGCAGATCTCCAGAAATAAATCCACTTGGGAACATTCCTAATAGTTTCTTTACCACGTTTGGGCTGGCGTGCTGTGATTGGCATTTGTGGCCGTAACTTTCGTAGCTGTCGTGTGACCTGGTCTTTCTTTTCTCAGAGGACCTACCGAGCCATGTACGATTACAGTGCCCAGGATGAAGATGAAGTCTCCTTCAGGGATGGCGACTACATCGTCAACGTGCAGCCCATCGATGACGGCTGGATGTACGGCACGGTGCAGAGAACTGGGAAAACGGGGATGCTCCCAGCGAATTACATCGAGTTTGTTAATTAATTATCTCCCATTGTCTTTGAGCTTTACTCTAATGTATACTAGATCTAATCTTTTTAAAGGATAGAAGATACTTTTAAGACACCGTGGCAGTTATTTTATGATAATCTCTCTCTACTTTGACAATTAGACACGCAGGTGCCAGGAGGAGGGAATGACTTCTGGGCTGAAAACAGCAGCATTTTCAGGAATTCCTGTAAACAGAGTCTGTAGGTCTGGAGACCCTGGTGCTGCTAATTGTGTTAATGGTTTCCTTTGATTGGCTTTCAAACACTTCTGGGAAATGTATTTTTGTAGACTTTAATAGAGATGTTGAGTGTCCCTTAAATGTAACGAGTCTCTGAAACTTCCTAGCTGTCACTTTGGAGTTTACCAGAAGCCAATTCTCTTAATTCCGTAACACAGCCAATAATTTAAAAACCAGTTCACTTTTGACCCATTAGGGAATTTCCAATTGAAGTGAAAATTGCCTAATGTAATAGACGTAAGCAGTGGCAGAATGACAGTTTGGTGGAAATTATACCGACTGGTGGCCTCAGGGACCTAGAAACTTCTACCGAACAAAGACATTTCCTTGTTCCCTAGGCTGACTGGGGTCTGGTTATTTCTCATGTGTACCAAGGGATATCCTTCTCTCCATTTGCATTCTGTGGGCCCAAGTCTACGCTTGACTCCACAGAATGTCAGGACCAAATGATGTCACAGCTACTCTGTCTGCAAAGGACAAAGTGTAAGTTCATCTCTGTTATTTCCCCTAGTAGCTTCTACCCTGTTGCATGTCACGTAGGTTCAGGCTTCTGTAACATAGGCAGCTGCACTGCCCAGCGCTGTTATGAAAGCAAAACCTGTGGCTGATAACCTAACGGCCCCTCCCTCTAGCCGCCAGCTCATCGGAAAAACATCTTTTGAAAAGTTGCTTGAGATCCTCCTACTGCCCCGCACTCTAGTTTCGAAGGATTCACACCCTTAGGAAATAGATGTCTACTCTAGCAAATAAGTGATTTAGGTGTTTACTGAGCAACTTTCATTAACTTAATGCCACTGTTGATTGAAAAGTAAAGAAAACGGAATAGGAGCAGGTGACAGCAAAGTCACTAGAGACGACGAGTGAGCAAAAAGTCCCCCCCTCCACACAGATACCATCTGGTCTCCTATTTTGGAAACTGGTATTCCGACCTGGGAATGGAAATCTAACCATCGAAAGTGCTTAATGAAAAGACTTCCTTTCTACTTTCTTCTGGTTTTTCTTTCCGAAGAGGGGGAGCTGAAAATGCCAGCAGAGATTTTAGGTATAGACCCAACAAGGTTATTCACTAAAAAAAAGTAACTGTTGTCCTGTCTTGAGTTTCAAATGAGAGACCCTGCAGTCTCTACCTGAATTCACAGCCATGTCACGGCCCTTGCTGGTGGCTCACGAAGGTTCGCCTGTGGTCGGTCCAGTCGAGATCACTGGAGACATGAACGCCCATCAGCGACTCTGTGTTTTTCTGATGGGTTCAGACGTGCAGCAGGGTAGCGTTTTTGGAGGGCCTGTCTCTGTAGTTGTGATGTAGCTGAAAAAGCCAAGTTTAAAAAATGTGACAAAATGTATGGGTCTTGGGAAGATCTCCCTTCTATAATATAGGCAAAGAAATTAACGAAACATCCTGTGAAATACCTTTTTTTTTTGAAGTGTTTAGGAGTCCAAAAACAAATGCTAATTCATTTATACTTTTGAAAGGTTAATGCATACTTTTGAACATCTATAGTTCCATTCGATCCAGCTAAAAGGGCAACTAAAGCTTTGTTACGCTCAAGCTGCGTCTGGAAGACATTCACAGTAAAAGAAAAGAGAAATTGTGGGTAAAAACCTAGAGAGTCTTCTTGAGGGGATTTTACAGATTCCTATAGATCCAACTGGACTGATTTTTGTATCATTGAAGTGGCCAGTCATGATTAAATGGACCCCATTCCTGTTTTGTTGTTTGTACACAAACCCATAGCCAAGCTGAAACTGCAACATTCTTGCAAACATTTCTGTGCATCAAAACCGAGGAGGGCAAGAAACCTGCTCGATTTCCTGATGTTTCACCCAGACAGACCACTTTTGTGATTGTGAGAAAGAGTAGTTGTTGATTAGGCCTGCCGACTAAATGTGGGACGGGTACAAATTTTGAGAAATAGCACATTTACACGCGAGCTCAATGGCAGCGGGCTTGAAGTGATGCTTATAATTGGGGAAAGTACTGAAAAGCAGCAGCTCTGATGTTCCGCTGTCTTTCTCATCCACTAATTTCAAAATCAGATTCACAGAATGTGGAAGTTAATAATTATCAGGGGAATAATTCTCCTAAACTCAGAAGCTTCCCGTAACATTTGCATAGTGGGATATTTGTTTCCAGCCTCTGGGAGTCAAGGGCTTCTCAGAATTTAACTAGAGACCAGTTGCTCTACAATAAAGACTGAGGGAGAATGAGACCTCACGTGCTCTCGACACTGTAACTTGATGTTGTCACTGTTGCTAACGCTTGTCAGGATATTGAGCATCTCAGCAGAAATATAGGGAACATATATGTATAAAACCAAAGTGCTACTTTCACAGGATCATTTTTCAAAACTGCATTTTCGGACAAGGCTTCCACTTTGCACGCTCCTCCCCCCTCCAGTTTGGCTGGCGGCGAGAGAAGGGCTTAAAAAAAAAAATCCGTCTTTTAAAAATCAAGTTACAGGAGACTGTGAAATGCCCAAGCACAGGGAGCACGCACTTGATTTTCTGAATCTGATGCGTTCTCAAGCCTGATAAAAGCACAAAGGAGCAGTTTGATACGCGTGTATAAGGTTCCCCAAACACAACTCTCCGAATTGTATCTCCCTTGAGTAAAGCAGAGCCAGTGGGATAGAGGACCTCGGTTGTAAGTTTTTGTAGCAAGCGTTTTTACTAATTCTCGTTCTCTGGGGAGGCTTTCTCTTTCTCACCTGTGGCAAAACGAATGCTTCACGCCTTCTTGTCCTTGTTTACACATCGGCAGCGTAGCCCAGTTTGAAGCATGTATCTGGTTGTCAGATCCCCGCCCAGTCCCTGCCTGTCCTTGGGCGTCCCCCACCTCCAGAGACCGCACAGCAATTTGCAAGCACAATTTCTCCGGGCACCTTCTGTGAATGTGGACGGGGTTGGATCGGCCCCTCTCTGGCCATTTGGTTCCTTGCTTGAAGATGATGGAGATGCGGTGTTAGGAGGCTTACCGCAGTCTTTCTTACCTTCTCCTCTCCCCATCCGGCTTGATGATGCTCTGGAAGGGTGAGAAATAGACTTTTCTCAAACAGTGAAGTTCAAGAGGTGCATGCATCTCTTTTTCAGGTGTGTCCATGTCCAGTGAAATGTTTTTAATGAAAAGATAAAGAAAATGTGTGTGATCCTTTAGTAACACATCCCCTGTATAAAGTGGATGTAGTTTATACCAAAATTATAATATAGATGTATTTTAAAAAGGTGCCTTTTTGATTACCCTTGTTTATCCAGTATGGGCTTGGGAAGAAAACCAAGCAAGCAAACAAACTTCTGTCTATTCTATAGTAATATTTTATTATACACGACTGGTATTTTTGTGGTGGGGAAGCGAGATGCTCGTGACAGATATGGAAGGTGATAGCCAATTGTATTTTACCTTTAAAGGTTTAGAACTTTAGAAAATACTGACTTTTCCCATCTATTTCTGAAAAGTTCTTTGTGGATTTATAGACATAGTCAGGATGCATAAACATTAACTTCAGGCCTGAGACTTAAAATACCTATTGCAAGATAGAAGAATTATGTTATGAGGCTGAATTCATTGCACATGATGAGATTCACTTCATAAATGTCATTATACCTTAGCTATTTGCTTCTGATCATCTAAAAGTGGCAAGAGCGTGCGTGTTCTGGTTAACGTGACTCGGAGGCGAGAAAGCTTCAGTTAAATGAGAAGCGATGTAAACTCAGTTAAGAATGCTAAAATGAAAGTCTCTTTCTGAAGTAGTCTACGCCCCTTAGGATCCTTTCCAGGCAACTGACTGTCAACTGTTAATTGACAGTTTTGTTAATTTTGTTAATAAAAACAAAAAAATCAGCACATCGTATGATGCGCATGTGGCCATCGTTTCATGATGCTTGGGCTCCTGGAGCCCATAAGCCTGGAGGGAGTCCCCAGGGCAGGTTTCTCCCCAGCTGTCCCTCTTACTTCAGTATACTCACGGAATTCCATATGCTTTTTGTGTTCGCTACCTGGTATCCGGTTTGCAGAGTACACCCTTCTTTGTAATCCAGTCGCTGTTAAGAATGATTTGCTTTGAAAGTAAAGAGAAAACCACATCGCAGTCCCATTTCTTCAGTGTCTGTACAATGAATGGCTGATTAGAAGCAGCGCCAGACCTGTTGCGGGCATGGTGTGGACGTGTTGGCCTTTGACCTGTTGTAAGAATATAAAATCAAACCAATGTGCAGTTTGGCTTCCGTTTGCTTCAAAAATGTGGAATTGTGGTCGATGATTAGTTTGCAAGGTTGTACTGGCTTTGACAGCAGACAGTTTTGATGGAAGCAATGTTTCTGAAATGAAGGGGCTTATAGAATGATACAATGTCATTAATATAATTTGGCTTTTGTTATGCAAATTAACACCAGCTATTAAAATATATTTTAGTAGAAATGCTTTAATTCATGTTTTTTTCCTCTACACTGTGAATCTTTAAGCCTTGGTGGACTAGAGCAACATCGTGCTGCCCAAAGGACTAACCTATGCAAACTAGTTCACATTTTAGTGGATGTCACAGTAATCGTGTAATAAGACATGACCTCCCCCCTGCATAATGTACAATGGCACTGAAATGACACATTAATCCTAGCATCATGTATGTATAGTACAGTCACTCACAAACCCTTCAAGGCTACTAGAATCATTAGTATTCTTAATTGTTTAAAAGCAAATCGCTGATTTATCTATTAAATCTACTTGAACGATGTCGGAACGAGAATGCCAGATGGATGTGTCGGCCATGGCTTCAATGTGGTCACTGCAAGTGTTCTGTGATACAACTGTGTTCGGATGCACTCTCTTCAGGGTATTATTATTCTGTGTCTTCTTTCTGTATTTGTAAAACATTATAACGCTTTAATTTCCTATCTCTACACGTTCGGTTTGCTGAAATAAATGCAGGATATAACAAAATGGTTCTCTTTCTTGGTTCTCACCTTGGTCTCTTGGTGCTTGGGTCATTGATACTACCCGGGGAACAAAGTTCACCGCACCAGCTTCCATTCAGTCACATCGCAGGAGTCTGCTGACTTCAGAGTGCTGCCACTAGACAACCATTCATACTGTGTCTTCCTCCCTCAGATAACGCAGTTTTAAATGATAACAGTCTTATGCTTTTGCAAGCTCAGTATCTGAGTTTATATCAAAGCACTATAATAGTACAGCATTGTAGTTCACTTCTTTCAAGATTAAATTCCTCATATGTTCTCAATAGTAGAATTTTAATTTTCTTGCATTAGCAAGATGAAAGGAACAGCTCGGAGCAAAGAATAGAAAATGCACAAATCGAGTACATGAAACAGGGAGAGATGCTCTGATTTTTCAGCTAAGAATGGCTCATTTATCATAGGACATAATTGCTTTTTTTCCCCCTAAATTTCCCCTAGGTGGAAAAAGTGAGTTAGTCCCTGTTTTTACCCTCCTAGGAATCTATTGAGACTAGAATCTTAGCTTTACTATATTATTCTGTATAAGTTCCTCATTCATAAACCCTCCTAGTTGTAAACTGCATAAACCCTCCAGATTATAATTTGATAAACAGTACAGATAACACATCTAGAACCCTGGCTCACAGAATAAACATGTCTTCTGGATCTTGAATTCTTCTGTTTTTCATATTCCAAAAGTATAACATGAATATTTGTATGACATTCATCATCCAATATGCTGATGATATTTCAAATTACAGAACAGGTTATTTATTGATTCACTTGAAGGATGTACTTTTTCTCCCCTACTAAGATTTTTCTCCCCCTCCGTGATAATCAATTTACTGCTTATAACCCAAGCCACAGAGGAATGAATAACTTAGCAGGATTTTTTTCCTGAACTAAACTAATTTGGATTTAGAATATATCATGCTTATAATTTTATTAACTTAACAATTGTGACATCAGTTTTATAAGTAATTGAGATATACATGGCCACGAGAAGGTGACCAAAATAATTTTTTTACAAAAATACTCAGACATAATAAATTAAAAAGTAGAGAGAAGGAAAGTTTGGTCCTTTCTTTATGTAATCTGTTTCTCCTACACAGGGGGGATTGAGTAAGAGTTTTGTGGTGGCAGAAAACTGGATACGGGCCAAGTGTGAACTACTTTCTGCAGTTCTAAGCAAAATTCTCAGGGCTTTGTCTATTATATGTGTATTTGTGAGCAGCACAATTATGAAAAACAGAACAAGAAAAGAGAGCTAAAGGGTACAAAGTCAATATGAGAACAAAGGACCCAGTTACTGATTTTGTATTTATACCATGGCATTTGATCTTTAACACTTTTCTACAAGTAGCAAACATGAAAGAGAATAGTAGACTGAAACAGAGAAATGAACTTGAGAGAATAATGAATTTTCCTGCATCCCAAATTTAGTTATTAGAGTGTTCTTTAAATGAATTGGTTTCTGGGTCTTAACCCAGGATGGACACACTTACTGCCTTTTCCCAGACGGTTGCTATCCAAGACCATGGTGGCCCAAATTAGTTTTTGTTATCTTGTGTGCTCTCATCACTCTGGTCACAGCTGATTGGGTCTAGGTGACCCATTGATAGGCTGCCTGGGAGCCTTGGATGGAGACTGCATAAGAACTTGGTCTAACAGGGATGGTGGTGACTGATCCTATCCAAATCTCTCTGACGAGCCTGAATTCATGATGTAGAGCAAGTTGGTTAACTGGTTGTATTATGAAAAGTTAAAAGACACAAAGAAGGAAGCCAGGAGTAAGCCTAAGCTTTGAGTAAGCAGGAGTCATGAGTAAGTGAAGCCACGAAATGGGGGAAGTATATTTAGCGTAGACCGAGGACAGTAAAGTAGTTGGTCAGTAGTGGCATATGGCATTGGGAGAGCCATAAAGAGATGGGAAGAGACTGGATTCTTGTTAATAGGTGGTGCCCACCATTCAGCAAAGCCCCAACCTTTGCTGCAGAGGGGGTGGCCACACTCTGCGTCACACTCTCGAGGCTCAGTCCTGCTGCCACTGTGAGACTGTATACTTGGGTACTTAGTATACTTGTGTATACTTAGATACTTGCCCACTTGTGTATACTTAGATACTTCCTGAGCAGCAGGAAACTGTGGGAACTGCGTGCTAGCAGCTATGCTGGCGAAGGTCTCTGTCCATCCAGGCATTAGACATGTGGGGGTATTTTATTGTGAGCAACTTGCAATAGAAACGCTAGTCTTTGGTCAAATTTTAATTTAATTAGCAATGACAACTTTTTGTAATTTTAATAGAGTGAAATTCTTTGTGGACAAAAAAGAATATATGTGTACGCACTGACCTTCTATTATTCTGATTAAGATTTTTTTACGGGCACCTGGGTGGCTCATAAAGAGTTGGTTAAGCGGCCAGCTCTTGGTTTTGGCTCAGATCATGATCTCATGGTTTGGGGGTTCAAGTCCCACATCAGGCTCTGTGCTGACAGTGCAGAGCCTGCTTGGGATTCTCTCTCTCCCTCTCTCCCTGCCCCTCCCCCACTCATGCTGTCTCTGTCTCAAAATATATAAACTTAAAAACAATTGAAGATTTTTTTTTTTTACAAATAAAAACAAATTCAACAGGTTGCAAAGAGTTAATTATACACACAAAGTTGTAGAGATGTGGAGTACCTCACTTGCTCTTTGGACAACTGGTTATTACATAGGCTTTCTTGCGTCTTTACTTCCTCTCTGAATGTTTTTGCAAAGCATATGGTTACTGGAGTTTATTTTCATACAGTCTGCAGCAGAACCATTGATTAAAATGCTGTTTATTCTCTCCCATTTTAGATTTCACAGATTTGGGAGTTGTCATTTCCATCTAATATGTGATAGGAGTTAGATTTGCTACATTAACCAGGCAAAACAGGGAAAAATTATTCGCAAGGCAAGAAAGTTGTTGGTAATTATTTATAATAAGTCCTTGCTCTGAGGTAGATCATAGCTGTGCATATGGAATTCTAGCAAGAATACTGAACATTTGCCTCCTTTAAAAGTCTGACAAAGTACACACTTTATCTTGAGTAACTTTGCCCCATTTAAATTAACAATTGATAATATTTTGGATGTATTTGGTTCCCTAATAAAAAGCTAATTGTGGAAACACTCCTTGATATACACAAGCATCTCCTGGTTTCGTGTACATCTTTCTTTTAGAAAAAAAAGTTTGAGATTTTTCTTTTTAAATTCATTTATTTATTTTGAGAGAGAGCAAGAGAATGAGTGGGGGAGGGGCAGAGAGAGAGGGAGAGAAACAAAATCCCAGGTGGACTGCGCTGTTAGCACAGAGCCAGACGCGGGGCTTGATCTCATGAACTGTGAGATCATGACCTGCTCAGAAATCAAGAGTTGGATGTTTAACCGACTGGCGCCCTAAGAAATGTTTTGACTTTCAAGACAGGGCCACCAAGTGATTTCTGGACCTCTGTATCTTTTTGCTCTATTGCCTTTAAAAGTTTTTTTTCTAAAAAGGGGAATTCTGATGAGCCAACTACAGTGTTATATTTGTATTGTAATGACACATGATTTCTTTTGTTTACGAGCCATAAGCTCACTGGTTTACATTCATTTCAGTGGGGGTGGGAGAAGAGGTGCCTGAAAACCCAATGGGATTAACTGGTTTTGTGTGACTCACCTGTGAAGTCTCCTCTGAGCTGTGTCTGAGCACCAGCGCCACTGGTCCAGGCAATGTGGCTCCAGTGGGTCTGCAGCCAGCCTCCCACTGGGAGAACAAGGGGCAGGCACAGGGCGATGTTTCCACGTCCTGTGATTTATGTCTTGGACTGTGGGGGAGACAATGGCT